GAGCTGTCTCTAGCCCGTTGATGACATTATATTGCTTTTCTTGAATATTTTTTCTTAAATATTGATTGTAATAAATATCTTAAAAGACAGATTTGTCTTTGACTATTCTTCATAAAAGAACATGCAAGGACTGGTTTAGTCCAACACCATCGAGGGCAATGGGGGGGTTCAGTGTCTTGCTGAAGGAGACTTTGACACGTGGACTGCTGGCACCGAGATTCGAACCTTCAATCTTCTGGTTGGGAGACAACTGCTCTACCCACCACACCACTGTCGCCTCAGTAAGTTTAAAGTGTATGAATTCTGTGATTTTGTAACCCTTTGTTGTTTTTTGCCAAGTTAAAAGTCTGACAATTTTTTGACTACTAATGAAAAAGATTTTTACAATACTGAAACACCCATAAATCACCAGGGCCGCTTAGGCTTTTTACTACTGACCACTTTCAGAGAGGTACTGTGAACTAATAATGTATGCAATCAATTTTGTCTAGTTTTCACATCTTCTTATTGTGATGTCTTGAATAATGAGGAAGCAGAAAGGAAACGTCATAGTAAGTCTTCCTCACAAAGGGTTTTAGTTAACATACACAATCTTTTCTTCACAGCAAAATCTTATCATTCACTTCTTTAGGCCATAAATCTTTGATAAAAGCCACCAGAATGTGGACGTGAGTAAACTCTAATCTCAGAAATGCTTAGCAAACAGGTTTGGTAGGTTCATTTGCAGCTGATGTGTGAAGGTGCTGTCTCGTTGGAGCTGCAGAGGCCCTGTACTGTCCTAGCATAATAAAACCTTGTGTTGGTTCTGTTATGGTGTACCCACCATAATAAAACACAAGGCAGAGCAGTCATCTCCCAACCAGAAGGTTAAAGGTTCGAATCTCGGTGCCTGCAGTCCACATATCTAAGTGTCCTTGGCTAAGACACTGAACCCCAAAGTTGCCCCCGATGGTTAGAGCCATCGGTTGAGTTGGCGCCGCAGATGGCTGCCAACGGTTCTGTACCGGAAACAAATTCCTTGTGTGTAACATACTTGGCCAAATAAAGGTGATTACTGAAATACGTGTGCAAGCTGTTTGAACACAAGCACCTATTGGGTGACAAATATAACTACCCGCTCTCTTTACCGGAAAAATACAGTCAATAAACTTACCGACATGCACGAATGTGCAAGAAGTGCGAGTAACATTTGATGAAAACGAACGAGATTAATTTAGTCTTGGTCGCCCCGGTCTCAAACCTGGAGTTACTCACCGGTTCCTCCCAGGATCCTCCTGACAACACCAGGATGAGAAAAATGCTCCGTGGTGTAGGGTAAAACCGCTTCTCTAGCGCTGAGGATAAACCCTCTTTTCTGTTCAGAGCAGCTTGTTTGGTCATACAAACAGGACAAGGAACTTGGAGCCAGAGACACGGTTCTAGTCACAGTCACAGTCACAATGGAATCGGGGTTAAGACGCCCATCGTCCGACCTGTGGTCATCCAAACACACTTTAACATTCGAATTCAGTTTTCATATTCTATTTATTCTACTTTTATTCTATTTTAGTTTCTTAAATGGTATGGACACTCAATACTAGGTGTGTGAGAGAGAGACACTAGTTCCACTTTTCTGTATGTTCTGAATTGACAATAAAAAAACATTGATCTTGAGCAAACTCACCACCGTCTTGTTGCTGCACGCAGAGCGAAAGGCGGCACGCTGCTTACTTCCTTTTTGCTGACCGCGCATGCGCAAGTTGCCTCAGAGAAGAAATGGGTGGAGGATGTCTCACTCTGACAAAGTTTCCTGATTCCATGTACACAGACATACCTTTTACGTACCTGCTTCTTAAGTACTGAATATTTCTGCTACTTGATACTTCTACTCCAGTACTTTTTATGAGTTTCACTAGCCTCAGGATGTGATTAAAAACAAAAATTTCCCACTCGCCCCTCACTTTGGGGCAGTCTTATTCCTTCCTTCAAGCTGGGGTCCTCTACCAGAGGCCTGGGAGCTTGAGGGTCCTGTGCAGTATCTTAGCTGTTCCTAGGACTGCACTCTTCTGGACAGAGATCTCAGATGTTGTTCCTGGGATCTGTTGGAGCCA